CCCCCCCCCCCCCCCTCATTCTCCCCCCCCCCCCCACTTTTTGGACAAATGCCCCACGTCTGCCGTACACATTTGGCTGGGACAGGGCTTAAAAAGGGGGTTGTCCCGGTCAAACCAGGACAGATTGTCCGTCCCCACCCCCGACACGGTTTCATAGCCCCCCCAAGCCCTGCAAGGCCAAGTCAGCGGACAGGGTCCACTTCCATTTCCATGTAGACGTACCCCTATTGGACAATCTGGCCTGGGGTACGGAGAGGGGTGCAGCACACCAGTTCTCCCCCATCTCTGACTCCCACGATCCACCCACGGGACTTCCCTTTCTGGGCCCAGGGACCTGCCGGCCGCCCCTCCTTCAGCCAGGCCGGGAGTTCTCTTCCCTCCAACCCTTGACTCATGCCAGGGAGGTTGTTCGGTGCCTGGCAGGCCTGGAGATTTGCAAATGAATAACCAGAGCGCACACAAAGCCGGGGAGATAAGCCATTGTGAATCACGGGGGATGTTTATTTGCTTGCAGGGCAGGGCGGCTGGAAGGCGCAGTCACAATAGGATCCTGTGAATAATGAATGGGAGATGAAAAGCAAGCACTTCCAGCCACCCATGTGTCCTGCTTTCTAGCTGCTCCTGCTGGGGCTGCGTTAGAAACACGCTTAGTCCATGGCCAGGCAGAGTGCCTGGCGGGTTCTCTGTCTTCTTCTGGAAGCTCAGATAGGCTCATGAGCTCTGGCAGGTTTCCAGATGCTCACGCTCCTCTGAAGAAATGGGGTTTGCTACTTTGGAAGCCCCGGGCACCCACCGTGATACAGCACACGCCGAGGGTGGTTGCATATACATGCAAATCTCTATGCAAATCTATGCAAATAGCTTCTTTCGCACGGCGGGGCATGAATACAGAGCACTTCCCACAATGCCCCGGTGCTCCCGGCACCTCCTCCCTGGGGGCTAGACATGCCGACACCCTGTACCCGTCTGCTCCTGCCAGCCCAGCCGCTTGCGTCTTTCAGGGCTCACCCTGCCTGGGAGACGCCTCGCCGCTGTGGAGCGTAGCATAGAGGGGTGGATGGATGGATGCACTATGAGTCACGCTTGGATGAATAGTATAGATGGAATAGAGCGAGGGGGGCACATACCGGCCCATAGGCTGCATCCGGCAGTCTGCCACTGCTATATTTACCTGCATCTCCGCGGGTACCAGCGAGCACAGCTCCTATTGCCCGCGGATCACCATTCCCGGCCAATCGGAGCTGCAGTATCCTGGTCTACGGCACTTCCCATTGGCTGGGAGATGGGATCCACAGCCAATGGGGGCTGTGATTTCTGGTCCCTGCGGAAGTGCAGGTAAATATAGCGGTGGCAGCCTGCCACGGGGTAGCCCTAGCAAACCGCCGCCCTTTTATTGCCCACCCCTGACACGGAAGGGTGGATGGATACCAGAGATGGCCTAGAGAGATGGATGGATACCACAGAGCAGTGTTTCTTAAACTTTTTAAGACCGAGGAACACCACAGAATTTTTTTTTAATGAGGAACACCAAGGGTCGGGGGGAAAGTTATTGAGGGGAAAAAAAGGTCACCTGCCCCTTTAAGGGTGGCCATTTTGAATTATTTTGGTCTCCACGGCACACCTCCGACTGCCTCGAGGCGCACCGGTGTGCCGCAGAACACAGATTGAGAAACACTGTCGTAGAGGGATGATAGATACCAGAGGGGAGGGATGGCTGCCATGGATGGGTACCAGAGGGGAGGGATGGCTGCCATGGATGGGTACCAGAGGGGAGGGATGGCTGCCATGGATGGGTACCAGAGGGGAGGGATGGCTGCCATGGATGGGTACCAGAGGGGAGGGATGGCTGCCATGGATGGGTACCAGAGGGGAGGGATGGCTGCCATGGATGGGTACCAGAGGGGAGGGATGGCTGCCATGGATGGGTACCAGAGGGGAGGGATGGCTGCCATGGATGGGTACCAGAGGGGAGGGATGGCTGCCATGGATGGGTACCAGAGGGGAGGGATGGCTGCCATGGATGGGTACCAGAGGGGAGGGATGGCTGCCATGGATGGGTACCAGAGGGGAGGGATGGCTGCCATGGATGGGTACCAGAGGGGAGGGATGGCTGCCATGGATGGGTACCAGAGGGGAGGGATGGCTGCCATGGATGGGTACCAGAGGGGAGGGATGGCTGCCATGGATGGGTACCAGAGGGGAGGGATGGCTGCCATGGATGGGTACCAGAGGGGAGGGATGGCTGCCATGGATGGGTACCAGAGGGGAGGGATGGCTGCCATGGATGGGTACCAGAGGGGAGGGATGGCTGCCATGGATGGGTACCAGAGGGGAGGGATGGCTGCCATGGATGGGTACCAGAGGGGAGGGATGGCTGCCATGGATGGGTACCAGAGGGGAGGGATGGCTGCCATGGATGGGTACCAGAGGGGAGGGATGGCTGCCATGGATGGGTACCAGAGGGGAGGGATGGCTGCCATGGATGGGTACCAGAGGGGAGGGATGGCTGCCATGGATGGGTACCAGAGGGGAGGGATGGCTGCCATGGATGGGTACCAGAGGGGAGGGATGGCTGCCATGGATGGGTACCAGAGGGGAGGGATGGCTGCCATGGATGGGTACCAGAGGGGAGGGATGGCTGCCATGGATGGGTACCAGAGGGGAGGGATGGCTGCCATGGATGGGTACCAGAGGGGAGGGATGGCTGCCATGGATGGGTACCAGAGGGGAGGGATGGCTGCCATGGATGGGTACCAGAGGGGAGGGATGGCTGCCATGGATGGGTACCAGAGGGGAGGGATGGCTGCCATGGATGGGTACCAGAGGGGAGGGATGGCTGCCATGGATGGGTACCAGAGGGGAGGGATGGCTGCCATGGATGGGTATGGAGTCAGACATCGCCGAGGCGGAGGAGCGGGGCGAGCTGGCCCTCAAGGACGCCCGGGGGAAGCTGGCAGAGCTGGAGGCAGCCCTGATCAAGGCCAAGCAGGACATGGCCCGCCAGCTGCGGGAGTACCAGGAGCTGATGAGCGTCAAGCTGGCCCTGGATATCGAGATCGCCACCTACCGCAAGCTGCTGGAAGGGGAGGAGAGCAGGTGGGTGCGATTTACAGGCCCCGAATCATCGAAACAGTTCATCAGAGCTAGGCCAGTTCACTCCAGGCGGGATCCGGCCCATGCTGCGTCTGGCACATGCCACTGCTGGAACGGCCCATTTCTCCATTGTCCTACCCTGTGAACAGACGTTCACACCCGTGCAGGGGGTGGGTATGGTTCGCACCCCAGGCACGTGGCGTCTCGCACCCGCTTTGCCCGTGGGGATGGGGACCCAGATTCGGGGATGTTCAGAGTTCCCCAGGAGGTACCATGCACCCTATAAAGGGCTCTGTCCTGTTTCCTTTGGAAGTCAAGGAGAGTTTGGCCACTTTCTTAACTGGAGTAGGGTTCAGGGCTTGGAAACTGCTCGATAAAGGTAAAAGACAGGTGGAGGCTGAACCCGAGAAGTGATTCCTTGGTCGTAAACCTCCAGGGAAAGGCAGGTTCTCAGCTCTTCTCTGGGTTGGAGCGATACTGCCAAGTGCATCCCGCAAGTGGGCGTATTCCCGAGGACGGGAGGGAAGTGAACCCCAGGGCGGGAAAGGCGAATACGCCACGTTAGCCTCCCGGGAGCTCAGAAGAGCTTTAAATGCTCGGCTGCCTTCCTGTCGAGACCGGTGGCAAACGTCCAAGGTGTTTTTCCTCTGTGAAAACAGTCAATGGAAATGAATGGGTTGGGGTTTTTTAGCAACGACAGCGTTTTTTCTTCAAAACCTTTCCTTTAAATTGAAAAATGTTCTGTTTCTGATTTTAAAAGACACACACGACATTTTGGTCCCGGACATTTTTTTTTAACCAAAATCCCCAAATATTTTAACCCAGGTGACATTTTCCGTGGAAACAGCTGGTCTGTCCGAATACCTCCCCCCTCCCCTTGCTTTCTATCCATCACAACACACACGGATGGAAAAGTTTCAACCGCATTGACTCCCGCCAACGCTTTGCACCTGTGTGCCATTAACGACACATGCCCTGAAGGGCTGAGCATGTTTGTTGTTTGCATTGGACAAAATCCCTGATAACACAGCTGTCTCCTCTTCATTATTGATAAGAACAATCCTCATTCATTCCCATTGTGCTGCTCTTCAAAGCCCCATGCCTCCAGGTACCAGATCTGATGTGAGCTCCAACCAATATTCTTCTTTCTTGCCTTTTCTTTCCCTCCCTCTGCAGGCTGTCTGGGGACCACGTTGGAAACGTCAGCGTCTGTGAGTTGGCTTTACAATTAATTCCTTCTCTAACGAGGTTTGGAAGTACATGCAATTCCACGGTTCACAGCCCTTTTATTTTAGTGTGCTGACTTAGATGAGACCTAGCACGGGCATGTCTAAAGGCACTGGGAATTGTGTTGACGTAGCCTATTGACACTGCACAGGCTAGGTAAAGGGGCGAAAATGAGTTGCACTTACTGCAAGATGCCTTTTTCGGACTGGGCGGGTGGAGAGCTGCTGACTACCCACTGGATTGACAGGCAGCGATCCATCCAGAGGGGCTTGATTTGCAATGTCAAACAGGAGTGCCAATGACACTGGATAGTAACTTACGGCATGTCTTCACTACTCACCAGATCCACAGGCAGCAATCGATCCAACAGGGGTCGTTTTATCATGTCTAGCATAGACACGATAAATCGATTGCGGAGCGCTCTCCCTTGGACGCCAGCATTCCACCAAACGGTGAAGAGGGAGCACAGGCGGCAGCTACCGACTTACCACTAGGGAGAGATCTCGTTAAACAGACCGAAGCCCATTGACTTTCCGCTACGTTTTTCATGTGGCTAAAGTTGCGTATCTTAGGTCGGCAGCCCACGGTAGTATAAACAAGGCATTGTATTGAATTAATCCGTTTGGGTTAGAAAGATGGCTTTTTGCAGATATGGAAAGAACAGGTACACCCACTAGTACAGTAAAACTCCATTGGTCCAGCATCCAATGCTCCAGCACTCCTGATGGTCTGGCACCATCGGGAACCCGGAAGTGCTCCGGGCAGCCAGACAATTGGAGCTGCTCTGCGCCCGGCTTCCCCCACTTAGCC